GGGATATTTATTGGACCAAACTCCAATCAAAGTTCCTTCTTTACGGGACAATTTATGGGACCCACCTCAGTTATGATAAAATGGTCCCTACATCACATGTACTAAAATATATTACCTATATCACTACTATAATTCCTTAAAAGTCAGAGATAAAACAGTTTAAATCCAGCTCCACATTAAGCCCCCTGTGTTTCATAGTATCTAGTTCATATATCCAAAAGGTCTCATTTTTCGAAATCTCTCTAGTTCAATTACGCCCCCTCCAATGCTCTCCAATTGTATCTATCCCACAAACGTTTAATAGTGATAGGTTACAGTTGTGGGCTTTCCTAAAATGTTTAGATAAGCTGTGATCTTTTTTATCCTTCTTTATATTGGCAACATGTTGCCTCAGTCTAACATGCAACTGTCTTTTAGGTCAAACATATTAATACTTTTCCATGGGGGGGGAATTATGTTTTTTTACCAGTCTATTTCATAAATTAGAGTTTCTTCTATATAAATAAACCTTGGTTTATTAGGTACTAGAGCTCACAGTATCCTATCTTTCTTGACAGTGGGCCATATTATTTGACAATTTCCTCCACCTCTTTATATTGACAATGGAAGTCTAAAATAAAAGCATATTCCAAATTATTACTAATATCAATCTTTCTTTTGGACTTCGGTTTTTTCCTTATTCCTCCCATGTAATGTTTGCTTACCTCAAACCGTATTTTCTCCAGTTTGTCAAATCATATCCCTTCTCCACAAAACATTTTTTAATAATCTCTGATTGTATTATGTAGTTCTCCAACCTGGGACAATTTCTCATCACTCTACAGCATTGTCCCTTGAGGACATTATCTAACCAGAAGAGGTGATGGCAACTTGAAACTGGGATAAACCCATTGCAAACTGTAGCTTTAAAATAGGTTTTCATATAGATTCTGCCTCTCTCACAACAAAATATTCAGATCCAAAAAATTCACTAATTGTTTATCAACCGTTTTAGAGCATTCTAGACCACAGGGGTTAGCATCTATACATGCAAAGAATTCCCTCAATAAATCCATACTCCCTTCCCAAATTAATAAAATATTATCAATGAATCTTTTCCAAACTTGAGCCCCTCCCATTTCCAAAGATCGTATCCTGTTCGCCATTTTGCAAGACTTGGGGAAAATTTAGCCCCCATTGCAATGCCTTTTTTTCTGAATATAAAATTCATCATAGCAGAAATAATTATTTTGCATTCCAAATTCCAACAACTTAATTATGTTTCCTTTGCTTTCTCTGAAGATTTGTGTATCTTTTGAGAGCCCATTTGACTGCATCCACCCCATCCTCATGTTTTATACCAAATCCTGTCCATCCTTTAAATACACAGGCGTGCGTACACGGATACGGGATACACCGATCTTCAGAGAAAGTAAGGAAATTTATAATCCAGTTGTTGTAATTTGGAATGTAAAATAATTATTTCTGGTATGATGGTGAATTTTATATTCAGAAAAAAAGACATTGCGATGAGGGCTAAATTTTGTCCTCAGCCTTGCAAACATTTTTATGTCAAAATGGGAACAGGATATGATCTTTGGACAGAAATGGGAGGGGCTCAAGTTATGGAAAAGATTCACTGACAATATTTTATTAATTTGGGAAGGAAGTATGGAATCATTGAGGGAAGTCTTGACATTTAAAGATGCTAATCCCTATGGTCTAGAATTCTCTATAACCAATGATTAAGCACGAGATTGTGTGAAACGCGTTAACAAGTCCTGTATTCATGTCCTGGTGTTTTGTGTGTCCTATGGACCAATAAATATACACTATATTCATCTATCCTCCGGTGTGCGGCTGACTCTTCTTCCTATTGCAACGTTTAGACAAGCCTGTAAAATACTGGGGGAATATTGTCTGGTCAGATGAGACCAAAATTTAAATCTTTGGATGCCATAATACACCCCAGGTTTGGAGGTCAAATGCAACTGCACATCATCCCAAAACACCATACCAATAGTGAAGCTTGGAGGTGGGAACACCATGGTGTCAGTTTTTCAGCATATGGTACTGGCAAACTTCATATCATTGAAGGAAGGATGAATGGAAAATGTACCAAGATATTCTTGATACAAATCTGCTGTCATCTACCAGGATGATGAAGATGAAATGAGGGTGGACATTTCACCAAGACAATGATCCCAAACACAAAGCCAAGCAAACCCTCAGCTGGTTTCAAAGAAAGAAAATAAAGCTGCTAGAATGGCCCAGCCAATCATCTGACTTGAATACAATAAAAAATCTATGGAAAGAACTAAAGATCAGGGTTGATAGAAGAAGCCCATGGAATCTTCAAGGGGACTGTTTTGTGTGGAAGAATGGGCCAAAATCAGATCTGAGCAATGCATGCGGCTAGTTTCTCCATACAGGAGGCTTCTTGAAGCTGTCATTACCAACAAAGGATTTTGTACAAAGTATTAAATACATTTCAGTTATCATGTTCAGTACTTTTTCTCTGTGTCATTCCATTTTATGACACATAACTTAATTTCTGAACTTATTTGTTTTTGATTTCTTTTGTATGTATGGATTGCACGGGTTTGTATCGACGTGTGGTAAAAATCCCATGTCAAAAGCACCTTTAGAAATATATTTACCTAGAAAAATGATGACGTGTTCAATACGTATTTTATCTGCTGTATATAGTTACGTTGGTCCAAGCTGGACCAATATAACTATGTATAAAATTCCAATACCTGGAATTCATCTATAAGCATTGGTAGCCTCCGTATTCCTCAATCAGTGGTTCCACCTATAACTCCTTGCACTCACTTGTCTGCTCATTATGAGTTTATGGCACAGGGCAGCTGCCAGCTTACTGTTAAAGGCCATACGCAAATATCACAAAAACAGTTACATAATCCTGACTTCATTTTTTTGGACTGGGACCCCTATGTTTTAAACTGCAGGCCCTGTTTTGATTACACACATTCCTTTTTATACAGAGCACAATGTACCGAATGTGTAGGTGTTTATTTTTATATGTTTAGCTCTGCTGAGGGGGGTTCATTGTATCCAGGGGCATGCATCATGCTACATATGATAAAGCATTTTACATACTGTACTCTGGAACATACTTAAATGATCTGCCATGAGGGAAACAGCATTTTTTTTTCTCCTTGAAATGGAAAAAAGAATGATGTAATTATTTCCAACTCATTACAATTCCAAAATGAGGTAAACACCAAAAAAGCACAGCCCCCAGTCTTTCAGGCTTGGAGGGATTCCACTACATAAGACATGAGCTATTCTACAAGCTATCCTGACCTTCCCCAGGAGGGCCAGCTATGACGCACGCCTGGGCCGTACCAAATATGGATCAGAGCTGGACTCTAGGTGGTGGGTGGTGATGTCACGGATGGAATGTTTTCCGCTGATTGGGTGACCACAGAACAGGCCTCTTCACTTAACCTCATAGCTATCAAGGCCAATTCACACAGGATTTAACAATATGTTCCCAAATCTGTACATTGTGCTAACATCATGACTCCAGTTTTCCAATTACATAACTCAGCGCCGGAATGTATCATGTACGCCTTCCCGTAATAAGGCAAATAACTAAATCCAAAGGCAGTCACCCATGGCAACTAGTCAGAAATCCTATTACTTTGACTACAGTACTAAGAGGGAAATCTAATAAGAGTGCTAGTTTACACTACTGTTGCTCTCTGAAGAGTGATTGGCGTTCAGATTGCTCTTAAGAGAGCATTTGGCAGGTGGTGGGGAGGCACTGTATTGCCTCTTCATCACATGCTGTAAAACCACTTGAACCCCACACTAGGGTGCGTCATACATAACATACTACCGCAGCTGCAGCACTGGACAGTTGTGGGGCACCCCCATTCAGTAGAATGGGACACATTCAATGGTGATACCACATGCTGAGTGCGCCGGCAGGGGTGATCTTAGCTGCAGCACAATGCAAAGCATCGCATTGTGCATCTTTGGAGTTGATTTGCCACTTACTACTGCATGTAGTACCGCCACGCTAGCATATCTTTTTATACCTGTAAAATTAAAAGTCCTGGTTTGACTTGAATGCCCATCATAACATACGTTATACAGTTCTGAAAATGTTCCTTCCCTCCATCTCCAACCAATCGTGCCAGATCTATAAAAAAAGATCTGTGTACTTACCTATTTTTAATCTGCTCCGGTCCAGTCATGTGATCCTGCAGCTGCTGCTGCAGGGGAGAGGAGGAAGTGTTGACAACAGCTGGGCCATGGTAGCCCATGGGGGATGTCACAGCTCCTGGAATTTACAGCCCTTGTTGATCACTCCACTCCCTTACACAAAGCTGCAGGATCACGTGACTGGACTGAACCAGACTGGACTGAAAATAGGTAAATACGCAAATCTTTTTTATACAGGTAAGGCAGGATAGGTAGGAGGAGGGTGGAGTAAGGAACATTTCTATAATTACAGTTAGGTTTTTCTTCCACTTCCACTATGACCATAAAATATTGATCTCTACCTGTAAAAAGATCAACAGGTTACAGACTTCCATCTCCAAGCATAGCCAATAACCACACCAATATTGCCAATTTCTAGCTCTAACTAGTAGCAATAGAACATTTTACTGCTTGTTAAGAGCATATGATTGGTGTCCATAGTCTGGGTATAGGCCCACTTTAAGAAATTAAATATCTATAGTAAAAGTATAAAAATAATTTTCGAAAAAAAAAATTTAAATGTGATTGGCTGATGTGACTTATAGCACGTTATCGCTGCTTTCTGCACTTTGTCTTAACAGGTTCCCGACCACCCTATAGCAGATATATTGCTGTAGGGCAGTACGGGTGCACAAAATCACGTACACATTTGTGACTTTGCATCTCCGGGTAGGGGGCGCACGAGAGGCACGTGCGTGCCCTACCCGTGCCGCCATTCGCAGCTGCGGCTGTCAATCACCGGGTCCCGGCCGGTGATTACTCGCCGGCACCCGGTGATTGCTGAGCGTTTCCGATGGGGAGGAGAACCGTATGTAAACAATACAGTTCTCCTTCCTGTCAGCTCGTGCACACTGCTTTGGATGGCTGTGCACAGCACAGCCATCCAAAGCAGTGTGATTACAGTGTAAAGCACACAGACACAGACACACAGCTAACCCTTTGATCATCCCTCATGTTAACCCCTTCCTGCCCAGTGCCTTTAGTACAGTGTCAGTGCTTTTTTTAAGCACTGATCACTGTATTGGTGTCACTGGGGATGTCAGTGACACCAAGTCAGTTCCCCCCAGTGTCAGAATGCCCGCTTCAGTCCCGCTCTAAGTCTCTGATTGCCGCCATTACTAGTAAAAATGTAAAAAAAATTCCAGTATCTATACAGCCATTTGTAAACGCTATAACTTTCACGTAAACCAATTAATTTACACATATTGGGATTTTTTGTAGCAAAGACATGTAGCAGAATATATTTCGGCCTAAATTTATGACAAAATTTGATTTTTAAATTTTTTTTTACTGGACATGTTTAATAGCAAAAATTAAAAAATATAGATTTTTTATCAAAATTGTCGGTCTTTTATTTTTTCTTTTATAGCGCAAAAAATAAAAAAATACACAGGCAATCAAATACCACCAAAAGAAAGCTCAATTCATGGGAAAAAAAAGGATGTACATTTCATTTGGGTGCAGCATTGCATGACCGTGCAATTGTCAGTTAAAGTAACACAGCACCGTAATGCAAAAAATGGCCTGGTCAGGAAGGGGGGTAAATCCTCAGGAGGGGAAGTGGTTAATGAATAAACTAGGATGTACAATATCTAATTAATTAGTATTTGTCACTGATTATAATAAGCGATGATTTGCTTATATTTACTGATTACAAATCAAATAGATACTTTATGAGTAATTTATCTGTATCTGCATCCAATGATAGGACGTATGAGTCAGTCTTTTGTACCAATAAAGAATGCAGCATTTTTGGAAGCTGACCTCTCTCTCTTCCACATTCCTATGGCAGATCAGAATCATCAGCAGGTATTTCTGTGACGTCAAGCTGATGCGGCTGGGGTGTTTTCAATGCAATAAAACAAAATCACCCATCTGCCTAATGGTACCCACAGACATGGGTTGGTTCAACTACTCAAATAGGCCATCACGGACCTTTAAGCAATGAAAAACCACCCTTGACACAAAGTAATAAGAGTAATGAACTAAGAAAACCCATCCTGGCAAAAAAAAAAAAAAAAAAAAAAAAAAAAAAAAAAAAAAAAAAAAAAAAAAAAAAAAAAATGATTCTGGGCTGGTCAGGTAAGTGTCTGCTGAGGTCACTGACTCCTCATACACACGCAGTTGTAATCATCCAGATCTGGTGATAGTTCGCAGCAGCTATGAATAGTTAAGTGCGTAAGTGTATGTGTGGGCAAAATAAATACATACAATGTATATATACTATATATAGTATTATTTTGCTCAGAAATACACCTTTTTTTTTTGGTAAAATTCTGTTGATTGGCATTTTACATAGAACCTACAAAATTGAAACAAAAGAAATAACAATCTGTGACTACGGCCAGAACAGGCCAGGTAGTCATCCAAAATACAAAAGAGAGGAAACTATGCCCATGATGCACAGTGAACATCACTATACATATACATTCAGGAGATAAAAGACGCCCCCTACTCAAGAGAACATACATCCTAGAGGTTACAAAGAATACCCACCACACCAGTTCCTCAGATAATGGCACGGTGTCACAAAGTGCAGGACATGAACTCACAGGCCAGCAAGGCCGCTAAGTAATAGGCAGCAACAGTCTAATGTAATTGTTGTGGGAACCAAAATTCGATATCCCTCAGTCTGCCACCGAATAGAGGAAGCAACCCAGCCACCCCAGACTGTATCAAATGAATGGGGTACCCCTCTATTAGCATTAGTGGCCTTATATAATGGGAGGGCCTTATTTATAAGAGCTTTCCAAGCAGAAACAGTTGGGGCCTCAGCTTTCTTCCAAGACAGTATGATAAGTTTACATGCATAATAAAAAAGAAGGGTAAGAAAAGTATGTATGGCCTTAGTGGGTTCCAAGTCATCAACTTAACTCAAGAGGCAATACCATACAGACAGTCTAAGGGGTATAGTAGTGACAGACTGGGCACACTGAAGCACTCCAGACCTGTATCGCTGGATAGCAGGCAGTCCCAGATACCATGCATAAAATCCGCCCCAGAGGCTGAGCAATGCCAACAGGAGGATAAGTTGTTACCAATAAGATAAATACAGTGAACAAACTTATAATGTATGAGCTGATCCTGAGCAGAAATGAGCCCAACAAATGGGGCATCCCAAAGATCCTTTCAGTCTTCAGTATCTAGATCAGGGACCACTGCTGCCCAACTGGTCATAAATTTGGTAAATAAGCTATGAGTGAGAGGGAACAGGGATTTATATATAGTAGACAGGGGTTTAAGTAGATCTTCATCTCGCAACATAGTTTCTATATCCAAGGGAGCAAAGGAGACAGGGGCCCTCCCAAACTGTGGTTGATATGCATATCTAAGTTGTAGGAACCTAAAAAGAAGAGTACTTGGAAGGTGGTGCTTAGCCTTCAACTCAACAAAGGGCCACAAGACCCCATTGTGTACTATATCCCCAATGGTTTTGACCCCATAGAGCATCCACAGTATCGGATCCTCATAATTAACTGCTTCCGCAGAAATACTGCTATAGGGCGGCACGGGTGCGGCCTAAGCTGTCAATCACCAGGTTCCAGCCGGTGATTTCTCGACAGCACCTGGTGACTGGCGAGTATCTCCGACGGGGGAGAGACCTTTGTATAAACAACACAGATCTCTCCGTTGTCAGCTCCTGCACACTGCTTTGTATGGCTCTGCATAGCAGAGCCATACAAAGCAGTGTGCTTAAGGTGTAAAGCACTCACACAGCCCACAGTGAAACAGCACACAGTTATTCATTTGATCACCCCACATGTTAACCCCTTCCTGCCCAATGCCATTAGTACAGTGTCAGTGCTTTTTATTAGCACTGATCACTGTTTTGGTGTCACTGGGGATGTCAGTGACACCAAGTCAGTTCCCGCCAGTGTCAGAATGCCTGCCACAGTTCTGCTATAAATCGCTGCCATTACTAGTAAAAACAAAAAAAAAATTTCCAGTATATATACACCGTCATTTGTAAACGCTATAACTTTCACGTAAACCGATTAATTTACACGTATTGGGATTTTTTGTACCAAAGACATGTCGCAGAATACATTTAGGTTTAAATTTGATTTTTTACATTTTTTTTTACTGGACATGTTTAATAGAAAAATTTAAAAAATATTGTTTTTTTCTCTAAATTTTCAGTCTTTGTTTATAGCGCAAAAAATAAAAAAAATGCACAGATGATCAAATACTACCAAAAGAAAGCTCTATTTGTGGGGAAAAAAGCACATAAATTTCATTTGGGTGCAGCGTTGCATGACCGCGCAATTGTCAGTTAAAGTAACGCAGCGCCGTATTGCAAAAAATGGCCTGGTCAGGAAGGGGGGTAAATCCTCTGGAGGACAATTGGGTAAGGAAGTAGGCCAGAAATACACCGTAGTGGAAACCTGTAATGACAGAGACTGTCACTGCTGTTCCTCCCTTGAAAATGCTCGTTTTCTAGCATTCTTTCTTTCTCTAGCTTCAATACGTTAATACATTATCTGATATAATTATGTAAATAAAAAAAAATTTCAGAGTGAAGTCAGAACTTCTAAATTTCATCCAGCCAATAACACAAAAATACTGAATCTACAGGATCAGCATGATGGCCATGTGATTAGTATTTTAAGAAAGGTAAGTATTTTAAGAAAACTTTGATTTCTACCTGGAACAAGCTTGAGATAATAAAAACAAGTCTGGTGAAATATGGTTTCTGGGGGTTTTGTTGCTGCTGATAAGCAAATCCCATTTTCAATTTCCTTAATAAAACAGTAATCTTTGTGATGTAGGAGTGCTGAACCTTATACAGAAGCACTTTAAAGCAATGGGTGATTTGCAGTCCTAGAGGCTGCTCACCAGCAACTGTGGGGTCTTGCTGAACAACAGGTGTTTGTTGAAGTTTTGAAAGGATGGGTAAAACTGCAATCATGCAAATTATTGTTGACAATGTAAACAGTGCAGAAACATACTCACCAGCCACTTTATTAGGTACACCTTGCTTGTGCCAAGAAAATCTCCCCCACACCATTACACCACCACCACCAACCTGAACCATTGATACAAGGCAGGATGGATCCATGCTTTCATGTTGTTTACACCAAATTCTGACCCTACCATCTGAATGTCGCAGCAACCAGGCTGCCCATTCACCTCTGACCTCAACAAGGCATTTTCGTCCACACAACTGCCGCTCATTGGATATTTTCTCTTTTTTGGATCATTCTCTGTAAACCCTAGAGATAGTTGTGAATGAAAATCCTAGTAGATCAGCAGTTTTTGAAATACTCAGACTAGCACGTCTGGCATCAACAACCATGCCATGTTCAAAGTCACTTAAATTACCTTTCTTCCCCATTCTGATGCTCGGTTTGAACTTCAGCAAGTCATCTTCACCACGTCTAGATACCTAAATCCATTGAGTTGCTGCCATGTGATTGGCTGATTAGCAATTTGTGTTACTAAGCAATTAAACAGGTGTACCTAATAAAGTAGCCGGTGAGGGTAGTAACAACCATGTCACTTTTTCTTGGTTTATCACAGGAAAAATACAAAGAATTATTTCTTATTGGTTGTTATACTCTAGCACAAGATGACCATGCAAGTCAATGAAGTCATGAAGTTAGTTGAAAAAATTAAGACTGTCTAGAGCTAAGATAAACCTCCCAAACCATTCTGTTACAAATGGGGTGTCCATGAAGGTTCTCATTTATCCAGATCATGTTATATCTAGTAGGGGTTAGTGACCTTCAACTGGACTTGCCCTGTAATGTTGAAGATGTTTCATAGCTTGTCCAAACCAATTCTTCAAGAGGCATGAAAGAAGTAATCTATGTCAAACCATAACAACCATCAATGAATAGAGGTGGGAGCCTTTGACACCATCTGTGTTGCACATATAATGCCATTTCTACACCCTGGCTTTTGACAACAATTCACACATTCAGCCATGTCAATTGAAGGATTAACACCTATGAAAACTTCTTGACACCAGGGATGGGAATTATGTAACTAGAACAGGATAGTTCCACAATTTTCACACATTCCATCCTGTCCTTAGAAAATAACATCTGTCTTTCAATGGTGATTGCACAAGGTGTTGCTGCTACCTGATTGAATATGATTGCTGTGGTATTTTCCCAACACTCATTAGAACTGAAGTGGCTTAGAGAAGCTAAGAAACAACTTCAACATTACAGAACAAGTCAAGTTGAATGTGACTAACTAAAGCAAGATATTCAACTGGGGTGTTTTATATATATATATATATATATATATATATATATATATATAAATTTTTATTAAGCAACATTTTTTATTAGACTTTCTCAAAGCATACGATACTTTGTTTAACATTCTACATGAAAGAGAAGGAACGTGTAGGAGGATGATAAACGAAAAAAACAATGACATTGGTAAATCCAGAAGCTGTTTTCCAAAGCCAACATGAAGAGTTGGGGTAAAAAATGTAAGCAGCTCAATCTGACTACACATGCCAGAAAGCTGTCAAACATCCAGGTGCCAACTGACCAACCTCCAGTATCCATGGCTTGGTCATTAGACATAAATGTTTGGCCTGGGTGTTAGGAGAACAGATGTTTAGATGAAGATGGTACTTCAGTTTTAGGCACATGTCTGTTTTACTGTCCAGTAATCCCCTAGAAGAAATATACGCTTGTAAAACTGGACTAAGTCCATTCTTCTAGTGCCTAACAGTTGCTATCCAAGGACAACAGTCTGCACAGTAAGGTATCCAAGATCTGATTTCTGTACTGGTACAGACTGTTACATACACAGTTGTGATTACTATTTTACAATTTTTTCATATATTGGATTATTATTAATTTTTATTGACCTATAATCTTGTTCTGGAGGAAAAGCAATTTAAAAAGTACTGTCTGTGACATTACCAATAAAATACGAGGTTAGATTTTAAAGGTTAGTGTTCAAATTAGCATACATGACTTAGCATACGTGATGGGAACACAAGGGGTTAAATATTTTTTGCCTCTGACATGGGAACTCCCCCCCCCCCCAATAAAATACCAGATAGGAAGGTGGGGGAGGAATCCCCTTTCAGCATCATTTCCCAGCTGGGGAATACAGTTCACAAGACCCCACAGTGTAATGTAATTGACATCCGCTATGCCCACGCTCCCAACATCCCTCGAGAATAGACACATAACAAAACTGGCGGTCACACATGAGCTAGAGAGTGGCTGCACCGTGACCCCCCCCCCCCACCTGGTACATGTTCACTTACCTGGAGCACCGTAGGTCACAGTGCAGCACCCAGGTGACTTTCACATTCTTTCACACCTAGGTGTCTGATATTAAGCTGAATTCCTCACTCTACAACAAAGGTCAAGTTCTCTCTCCATTCCACAAGCTACACATTGCCTGGAGCAGATTCTGCACAGAGATCCTCAGTGTAAGCTTACCTGTCAGGGAGAGCATTTCATTATAATAGATGGCTTTCATAGACAATGGGCGAAGATTGCATGGTTCATGTGCAGTTCAGCTGCCCTTACTGTTAACAGACTAGGGACAGGGGGGGCTCGAAAGAACAGTAGGGTGAAAAAAAGACTATATACTGGAGACTGCAGCATAAAGGAGCTATAGATCAGAGTAGGCAGGGCAGGGAGAAAAAAGAAAAGCAGTGGGAGATGACTGCTGAAGGGTGGGCAAAGGTAACATATTGCAGTAAAGTGGGTAGGGATAGAAGGGAGATAGGTAGGAAGCAGTGGTAATGTGGGTAGGGGTAGGAGATTATTGGAAAGTGGGAAGAAGGTTGAAGAATTGTAGGTAGGAGCTGTATGTGCAAGGTAGGAGATTGTTGTAGAGTGGGCATATGGTGTGCAAGTGGGTAGGTGATAATATATTGAAGACTGTGGTAGGGTGAGCAAGGGCTACCTAAGATGGCAAGGGTATGAAACTGACAGCTTAGTACACAAGCTTTATACTAATGCATATGGAAAGAGGTTGGTTGTCAATATAGTGGGCAAGCAAGAGATAGCAGTGCGTAAGGCAAGGTGGCTTACATAAGGAAAGATGACTTACCCCTTGTCCAATAGTCAGGTTCCTGGAGGACAGCAGATGCTGATGTGTGTCACTAGACCCCTTCTTGACATGATGTGGGTAGTAAGCACTACACTGCTATTCTTCCCCTGCAACAGGTTAAAAAAAAGCACTGAGTTCTCTGGGTGGATTCTGGGTGGAGGTTTTGGTTAATATGTAGCTGGCCAGGCAAACAAATCTTGTCTACTATGCTGAAACGGTGATGAAACCCAAATTTGCAAGCAATCTGATGGGAGCAAGATATCTGTGGTATGTGACTTATTTCAGGCTAAGAAAGTTGGGGGGGGGGGAGGCAGTCTGGATCCTTATGCCTTTTTCAGATCTGAACAGCCCAGAAGGCCAATTGGATGGTTAAAAGTCTATTTTTGAGCCTATCATGATAGACACATTGCGTGAATAATGAGGCATTCCACTGAATTTCCTGCTCCTGGAACACAAGGCGAGTCTATATTTAACAGCAACTAAAACTGTCAAGAATGTTTTGTGGTTGGATAACAGAGGCAGAAAAATGTAAAAAACGCAAGACTCCAGCTCTTCCAAATATGGAAATTTCCTAACGTCTGGATGTGATTCCACATCTGGAAATATTCAGTACAGACTCTTTGCAGCCTGGCTCCCTAATACACCCACCCCCCTCCACCGTCACCCGTCACTGCAGACTGAAAAAGCCATTGTACCCCAAATGATGCTAACTGAGCAAGGAAACACTGACATATTCTGGGTCAATTTCACAGGCACAACAGCCTAATGAGACAAGACTGTCTGCATTATACTGGCTACATACACAGGGATTTAGCATTAATACCAAAGTCAACAGAGAGCTGAAAGTATAGACAAGTTCCACAAGCAAA